GTAGTGATGTGACAATATATATATATATATATATGCAGAGAGAGAGAGAGAGAGAGAGAGAGAGAGAGAGAATACTTGGTGATAATCTTGGCGACAGCTGCCACAACTGCTTGTAGTTGGAACTTGATCCTTGTACAATATAAGCTTCTTGAAAGTGTATACACCTTGTTGTGGGCTAATTGGCCATCTCGGTGCTTGATTCAATGTTCTCTGGGTTTTCTGTGTGCTGCAAGTTGCGACTCAGAGTTCGATTGGATTTGGTTCATTGCAAAATTGTTGTATTGATTACTGGAAGTGAGAAATTATTCTTCGTCAAGAAATTCAGTGTCACTATGTTCTAAGTAGGTGTGCTCTTGGCTTCGTAATTCTGCTTTCAACTTGGCTCACTCATCCTTGGTCTTCTATGAGTTTTCTCATTGGTCGACTCCTTGCAGGACAGTTGCTTGAGCCGATTATTACATGTTGCTCAGGGAGGCAGGACACACAATTCTACATCAGCTTTTTCTGGATCAATGATCTTTCCTCATTTATTTCGGGTGCGATTGTTCCATTTGGAACTTCTGTGAAGTTTCAATATGTGTGGTGTCATCTCAATCAAGTGCAGAAAAGAGATGATAAATGGGACTACTTAAGATTCTTGAAATTTGTAACACTGGTATCTGAGCTGGTTACCATCTTGACTTTGGACATGTGCTGGGCTTCAATGGCCTCCCCTTCAGCAAGATCGCCACACCGGTGCACGATCTCGCCACCTTCCAAGTAGCTATCTGGGTGTTATACCTCATTTTGCACAGTTTTTGAAAAGGAGTGATCACCATGAGGAGGTGGGAGCCAAGTTGCCGCTGGGAAAACAATAGCGGCCAGAAGCTCTTATGAGCAATTGGGTGCACCTACCAGAATCCTTCAAGGGAAGTTGGTATCGTCAGCTACTAAGACGGCAATTCCCACACAGCCAACAGAAGCTGCAGAAGCACAAGCATGACTTGGTGACAAGGCAAGCTGATCTGGGTGCCCAGATTTAGGCAAGGGGTTGCTGAAGAAGAACATAGACTGTCCGCCTTCACTATCCTCCATGCTGCAGACATGGACAGGAGAGAGAGAGGGAGAGAGGTGAGCAGATACATGTGACACTGAGAGAGGAGAGAGAGGTTGTCTGCAGATTTGCGCTTGAGCAGATTTACCTCGGGCGGCCATAGCCGGCCACTTGTGACTCCACCACTAGACACCTCAATTGCCATTTGATTCTGCTACCTCAGCAGCTCTAGGGTTCACCATTCGCCTGCTCCCTTCGAAGGGGAAATTGGGGGGAGTAGTTGGGACATCCTTCCATGAGAGAGAGAGCATGAATTCAAACCGACTTTTGCATGACATTCACCCTAGGGCACTCTGCCTCTATGGAGCTCACACCTCTTGGCCAGAGTTAGTAGGGGGTTACATAAGCCTGCTGCATGAAGGATCGTGATATGAGACTATGAAGGGTGCACGCTCCCCTAAGACCGAGACCCTAACCCTTGAGCCACCTTGTCATCGATCCTAAACGTTATGGTGGATGACACTTGTCGGTTGAATTTTTCACTTTGCTCACCCTGGGTGCGATGCTGTGACACACTGCACGGTGCTGCCCACTGACCACTGTGTTGCACAGGGGCGGGAGTAAACTCTTTGCCGCTGAGTGCTGCAGCGAGTGGCGGAGAGGGGATAACCAAGTGTGGTGCACCAGCCTGTGAGATCGAGACAGATCAGGTCCCAGGCTTGTACCGTGCGAGAAAACACATGAATGTGCGAGTGTATGGCTACCAGAAGGAGGATCCAAAAGCAGCGAGCAGCTTTGTTGAGACAATGCACATTTGAGTGATGGGATTTATCACACGTGTCAGCTACAGGATCAGAGTGGAGCACCAGGGAAACTCTGTGGAAATGATACAGGTGTTCAAGGGAAAAGAGCACTTGAGGTCGGCAGAGTGCAGAGAGAAGGGCAGACAAGACGGCAAAGGGAACAAACTGACTGTTGGATGTGTACACCGGTAACATTGACCTGTACCTGTTAACCTTGCTCCTTGTTTGTTTGCCCACTGTGCACAATAGCTTGCTTCCTACCTACCTGTACAAGAGATCCATGGCCTAGTTGCCCCTCTGAATTTTGAGGACCTGTAAACCATAGTCAGTATACCTCTCATGAGGTGCAGCCAATCTGGTAATCTGTGATTCCATGTTCGCTCCCCTGCATGGGTGTCAGGCACGGATGCTGCTGCTTTCCCCCTGCCAGGTCAGCATCAGTCTGCTGTAGCTATGGCGAAACATATGAGGTAGGACCGGAAGGAGGATCGAAGGGTACAAGGGAAGATGGGAGGAGACCAGGTTACATTACACACCGACCCATTGATGGTGAAATCTCTCTTCAGCACATTCAGTCGTCTAGCTCTATCCATTTTGTCTGACAATGATCCAACTTGTGCCATGCACTCTGCTAAACCTCCATGCCGCTCACTCAATGCCATATTCACTCTCTCATCGAAGCTCTCTCCTAAGTCCCGCTTGTGTGCTGCCGCTGTTTCTGCAAAACTGGAAACCTTCACCCAACCCAATAGAACAACACAGCACCAAAAAAGACAACAAATACCACTCGTCATCATGATGCAGATACTGAACTAAACAGGTGTCAAGTGGTTCAGTCTTTTGTATCACAAGTTCACAACTCTTTAGACATCTACTGACATGAGGTGGAAAACAGAAAAGGTGATAACACTGATAAGAGTACTGAACTCATTCAGTTGCCAAGTAAATAAATAACAGAGGACAACGAAGGAAAAGAGAAACGAGAAGCATGCAAAGAAGTGGAGGGCAAAAGTGAGGATCGCACGAAGAGTGGAAAACCACCGAAGATTCTGTACTCACCCCTGAGCTAAACCCCATCTCAACCCACAAAATGTTGACCCCCTAACTGCTGAGGTCAACAAGAAAAAATAAAGAGGTCAGTTGCCCTTCTTTTCTGTCTTTGCATTCCATGCTAGTTTACGGCATTCGTCCTGAAGCCCAGAAACAGGCATATAGCATGCCATGCCTTAGGAAGGGAACCTCTCAGGGATGCCAGGATGCTCCTTGGAGAGGCACCAAGCAGTAACGCTGCGAGGAGTGGGAGTGGTAGCAGCGGCAATTGTAGGGGACGCAGTAGTGATTCTAATACTGTTTGGTCAGACTATCACAGACTCGTCAGTGGGTCTGCGTGGGTGTGTGTGTATCTGTGTGTTTGCATGTGCGTGTGTTAGACGGCCGCCGCAGGAACGAAAAGCCCTTCAAGGGCCTCAACGAAATACCAGTCACGCGAAAGGGTACAACCACCAACACGAAAAATTATATCCACACACCATCAGCCCTGAAAATCTGCTGCCATTGATGGCTTGACATGGCTATGAGGGGAATGTCGGGAAAATGAATATGTGTCGCCTAGACATGGCACACACATTTCATAAGAAAATCGGCGGTTCGGACAATCATGGCCGTGAATGTAAGGATCCAATGGCCAAAAGGACAGGAAAAGCACTGAACTTGGCACACAGCATTACGCCCAGATTTAGACATGCCAGGCACAGGTCCGACCCTGGCCGTTTAGTTTGTCAAATCAGAATGCCAACAAGAACAGAATGTGTGTGTGTGTGTGTGTTTGACAGAGGGAGAGAGAGAGAGATGGGGGGGGAGGGGGGATGGCAACAGCATGAGAAGACGGTAGGGACTCTAGAGAGAGCGAGAGAGAGATGTAACAATCATGCAGCATCAACCTCAGGTCTGTTTCCTCATCAGAAAAGCAGTGGGTGTCAAGAATCTATCCCCACGGGTAAAGCGGGCACGTTGCGGTGTACTGTTGGGTATGGCTAGAGCTGCTGAAATTCAAGTTATTTTTCGTCATTGGATCAAATTGCTAGATTTCAGTGTCTGTTGTTTTTCAGGCATGGGGCCCCTGGCAGGGTTGCTTGATTTATTGTCGGCAAGATGGGCCTGATACAGCACTCCACCAGCAAAGTTTTAACAAGAACGAAGCACCACTTTATTGAGCAGGGGACAGCCTGGCTGTGCATCATTAGTCAATCCTGCCAGACATCCCAAACTGGTATAAACGATGGGATCATGCAGATTGTTACCACTTGAATGGGTGCTTCTAACTGCTTTACATCCATTAGTTTCTAGTACTTTCTACTAACTTATAGTAATCGATGCACTAAATTATGGCAACTGTATGTATGAGTTAGGGCACCTCGAGGAATGGGCAAGGGACATCGATGACACAGTCAAGGCAGAGACATAATGGGGCAAACTCGGCGAAGCCAATATACCTCAATAATTTCCCCCATTATATGCACATGAACAATTGGAAACCGCTTTCCAACAATATAACATCTAGGAAACAGTCTTTTCACCTGCAAACAACCACAAAAAAACAACGAAAAGGCAGTCAGCACCTTTGGCCTGGGAAGGGGAAACCGCCCATGGTGGCCAATGACAAGGATCAGCCAACTGCGCATTGGAGAGAATATGGTGTTTCCCAGCAATCTGTCGGATTCAGTATCCCATAACCCTTTAAGTTCAGGGATATAATGGTCTTCACTTCCATTGCAGTTCAACCAACCTTGTCAACCAGAGAGGGTCAGAGATACACTGTTCTTGATTTGCATGTTTTTCAGGAGATTGCACACAGTATTACACTGCTCCTGGCATGCTCTTTCTGTCCAACACCGCTGGTAGTTGGTGAAAAGTGACAACATGGTCTACTGTCACTCTCTGTGCTGGTGGTCAAGCATCTCCAGGAGTGAGAACTCAGAGAATGTGAAGGTCCCTGCTGCCAATTTCACCCATTCCGCTGTCACTTGCCTGACAATTGCCCTCCCTTGTGCAATGATGACCTGCGGAGTTTCAACGGAGAAGTATTCTGCTGTATTTGCTGTGCATTCTGAGTCTGGTCTGAGAAAATCTGCCTCTTTCTGGGTTTTGAGCATAGGTGTGCCCATGGAAGCAAGCCCATGGAGATCTCTGGCCTTGGGAGGGTCCGGTACTGCCTTGGCTGTCCCTGTGTGCCATTCTGAGTCTCACCTACCGTCTTCACCCGAATATAACGCCCAGTCACTATAGCTGCATTTGGGGGCATTTTCTGTCCAGATGCAGCGATAATGACCTGGCGTTCTATTTGAGGTAAGACGGTAGGGTCATACTTCCAGAAGTTTGAACTTGAGGGTCAGCCTGGCAGTCTGTGCAGATGTAAAGGTAAGTTTCAGGCAGACAAAATCGACCCTTGAACTATGTCACAGTATGGATGGATACACCGGTAATTTAATTAGGGGCCGCTAGGGATTTTTCAGTAACCCCACCCTAGGACTAATTAACCGGCATGCCCTGGTGCAATATCCTGTCTGCTTCCATACATATCTGGAAAACCTAGATGAAGGATACATCTAAGTCCAGGGGTAATAGCAGACTAAGCTGTGGCTGTGAATGCATCATGGGGAGATACACCAGGAGACAGGCATGAGGAGGAGGATGAGAGCAGGGCGCGAAAAGGGAGGAGGGATGCGTGGGAGATACAGGAGAAGACAGGTGTGGGGAGGATGGACAGCAGACAGGTGAGATACGGAAGGAGGAAGGATGGGAGATACAGGAGGAGGCAGGCATGTGGAGGACAGACGGGGGGAGGACGAGATCTGGGAGGAGCCAGGCTTGGCATGGGAGGAGGGATTGGAGGAGGGCAAGATACAGCAGAAGGCAAGTGCGGGAGATGTGGAGGTGGGCTGGAGTAGGGCCTCTTGCTTTGCATACCGGAGCTGGGAGTATTGTCCACGCGCCTGTAAATGATCCACCAGCTCTGCTTCATATTGTGCAGGACATTCCCCCCCCAATTGTGGCAGATTTGGGCACTGACATAAATGGCACAGGGTGTTGCACCAATCCCGTACGTTCCTCAGATGCTGCAGCCTATGGCACGCTGTTTGAAAGGGTTCTTGGTGCCAGTACTCCTCTACCATCACTGGGAGAGGACCTTCCAGCCGCATGACTGAGGAGGGTGGATGAGCTTGACTTCGAGCCGCGACATAGCAGGCCCCGTGGGCCATTGCGTACCGACCAGTTGGTGGCATGTTTGGACAGTGACCTGATGGTCGGCAAGGAGTGTTGCAATCATGTCAGCACCGCAAGACACCACGGTAAGACCTGGGGTACTGATGGCCTTGAGATACCTCACGGGTCGTCGACAGTGTCCTTTCTTTCTTTTCATTTCATGTGTTTCATCCCTACAGGGCTTACATTGATGGGCAGTTTACCATGATTGTGGTTTGGCATACAATTTATTGATGTTTGAGTACGCCTGCTTTCTTTTCCAATTTGTTTATGCATGCATGTGGTGTGTATTCGCATAGACTCATTGCTTTATGTCCGAGAACTTGTGCTTTCCTTTGCAATTGTTTTAATCTGTTTCTCGGTGCATTGCGAATACAAAGACACATCTGTAGATTTCAGCATGGACAAATGTGTGCATCTATAAATGGGTCTTTGGATGCGGGGTGCAGGGTTGGGGACTGCTGAAGTTGAATGGGGTTAACGAGGGAAAGGGGTGATGGGGTTAAGGGGTTAATGGGGGTTGAAAGAGTGAAGGGGATAAAGGGGGTTAACGTGGTAAGGGGTTAAATTGGGTGAGGGGGATAACGGAGCGAAGGGGGTAGGGGGTGAATCACATAAAGGGCTAAAGGGGGATAAGGGGGTAAAGATGTAAAGAGGGCAATGGGGGTAACGGGGTAAGGGGCAAAAGGGTACACGGGATAAAGGTTTAAAGGGGCTCAAGGGGGTGAAGGGATAAAGGGGTAAAGGGGGTCACGGGATAAAGGGGCAAACGCAGTAAAGCGGGTTAAGACGGGAAGGGGTTATGGGGAAAGGTGTTAAACGGGGTAAAGAGGGTAAGCAGGAGTTCGCAGCCCTAAGGCTGCGGTATAGTGGGCTTCCGCGTCTACGTCAAGGTGTCGCATTTTTGGCGGCGGGCGACCAGGACACAAGGTTCTTAGGGGGCAAAAAAAGTTGGGGGACCGGTCCTTGCCATAATTGCGGACTACCTACAGCTAGCTCTGGTAGAACCGGGACTTCTGGACAAAGGAAGGACCGGTCCTCGGGTGGAAGCGGACCCCGAAAAGAAGTGAGGGGCATTGGACCGGTCCTCGGGTAGAACCGGACCCCCAAAAGGAGTGAGGGCATGTGAACTGCAAAAGGGCCCTCAGCCCAGGCGTTGAGGCCCGTCTTCTCAAAACAGGGAGGTCAGACACAACGAAACAGGCGTTTTGCAAGAGGCAACTTTGGCGATTTTCCGTGCTCGGACGAACCCGCAGAAAAATCTGAAATTTTAAGAATCCATAGACGAGGTCGTGTTCTTTCCAGGAATAATATTAAAACATTTTCAAAAAATCATTTAGACTGCGAAATAATCGTCGCGCCGATTCGGCACATTTTCCATATTTGCCACTCAGCCATGTGTGGGCCAACTAAAAAAGTACTCCAAATTCAGTGAGTTTTCACGCTCAGAAGAATGCATGAAAAACCTGAAAATTGGAGTACTTGTAAATTTTGTTGTGATCTTTCCAGGAAAAACGCTCAATAAATTTTTAAAATTCATTCTAACTGTGAAATAGATCACGGCCGCAACTTGACCCATATTTCAATTTTGCCATTCAGCATCTCTCTCTCTCTCTCTCTCTCTCTCTCTCTCTCTCTCTCTCTCTCTCTCTCTCTCTCTCTCTCTC